AAATGAATTCCCAAGGGAAGATGTGCCTGACGTCTGTCAGATGCACAGGTAAGTTTTTCCAGGGAGGCTGCTGGTGGAGAAGGATCTAGTAAGTGCTCTATGAATTCCTCTATGCTGTATTCTTTTAAAAGAAACTGATGCTCTCTCGGGGCCATTCTCTAGAGGCTTAACTGGATGCCCCCACTCAAAGTGAACATCAAGAGATGCAAGGAAGGGAAAAGATTGGTCATAGCCAGCTAGGAGAATGTGTTCTGGTGGTCCTGATTACAGATGATGGTGATAGCAAGTAATATGGTATTATGTAATTGAATAATCTCATCACAAGGACATGATAAACAATGATAGATAACCTAAGTCTCCTGAGTTGGCCAATACACAATGCATCTGTGTGACCACAACATCATACTCTACCCCCATAAAATGCATTATCCATCAATTAACAGAACTGTATCATCTCGAGTGACCGAATTTTTTAGGTTTTGGTAATGGATAGTGTGAATAATATTGAGAGATGCAGCAAAAATTCTTTAATGAGATCATGAGTCAGACTACAATCAAGCAAAACTCTGCTTAATTGGCCAAAATAATAACAAGAGGAATTATCAGGACCCAGCTAGGTATATAAAAGGCCCAGGAGGAAGGGAAAGGATCACACCTGAGAACACACAACTGCTCTCAACTCCTCCAGCCCATACCAAACCAGACACCACCATGACCGGCTCCTGCTGTGGCTCCTTCTCCTCCCAGAGCTGTGGTGGAGGCTGCTGCCTCCAGCCCTGCTGCTGCCGCGACCCCTGCTGCTGCCGCCCTGTCTCCTGCCAGACCACAGTGTGCCGCCCTGTCACCTGCGTGCCCCACTGCACGCGCCCCATCTGCCAGCCCTGCCCCCGCCCCATCTGCTGTGACCCCTGCAGCCTGCAGCAGGGCTGCTGCCGCCCCATCACCTGCTGCCCCAGCTCCTGCACCGCTGTGGTCTGCAGGCCCTGCTGCTGGGCCTCCACCTGCTGCCAGCCCATCACTGTGCAGGCCCCCTGCTGCCGGCCCCCCTGCTGCCAGCCTGCCCCCTGCCGCACCACCTGCAGGACCTCCTGCTGCAACTCCTGCTGCTGATTAGTGAGCCCACTGCTTCAAGCCAGCAATCAGTCTTCTGGAAAAGTCTTAGTCCCTTTTCTCTGCCTGACAAACTTTCCACTCCAAGCTACCCAATCAATGAATCTGTGAATGGAGACCTAGATGTAGATCTAAGGTCTTACAGCATGATTATCTTCTAATAAACTTCTCTTCTTTGGTCCCACAAACACTGCTTTGAGTTTCATTACTCATGCTAATTTTTATTGCATTTCAGCACAATGAAACTTGCGCTGATTACCTACTCTCTGCATATCATAGACTGCTTGTTACATGAGAGGCATTAAAACAGAGTTAAAAATATTCACCTAGCCAGGCACTGGCTACTCACGCCTGTAATCTCAGGAGGCTGAGATCTGAGGATCATGGTTCGAAGTCAGTCGGGCTTATTCACCTACTTAAAAAATTTGTAGAGGGGTTGGGGTCAAATCTACCAAAACTCAATTAAAAAGAAGAATATAAGAAACAATATACAGTATGGCAGCAAAGCTATTTCTCATGGAAGGAAGGAAGGAAGGAAGGAAGAAAGAAAGGAAGGGGAAGGAAGGAAGGAAAGAAGGAAAGAAGGAGGGAAGGAAGGGAAGAAAGAAGGGAGGAAGGGAAGTAAGGAAAGAAGGTAGGAGGGAGGGAGGCAAGGAAGGAAGGAGGGAGGGAGGGGGAGGGAGAATAGGAAGGAGAGAGGGAAGGAGGGAAAGAAGGAAGGAGGGAAGGAAGGAAGGGAAAATGAAAGGAAGGAAGGAAAGAAAGTTTTTTATGAAAAAGATTTGGGTGTCCAGCTGAGCACCAGTGGCTCATACCTATAATCCTAGCTATTCAGGAGGCTAAGATCTGAGGATCATGGTTCAAAATCAGCCTGGTCAGTCAAACAGAGAGAGTCTTATCTCCATGTAACCAGAAAAAAAAAAAGAATGAAAAAAACATGCAAGAAAACAAGGCCCTGAGTTCAAGTCTCAGTGTGAGCACACAAAAAGAATAAGATTTGTGTGTCCAGAATCAGAAGGAAGGTGGCAATATGGGTAATGGAGACATTATAGGCAAAAGTATGGAGTGAATTCCATAAGGATTGTCCAAAGAACAGTTTATCTGGAGCACTGGATATACATATGTAGAGTCACAGATGAAGAAAATTCTGGAAATTTTGTATGATTTGCAAGTTAGCAAATAAGCAGGAAGGAGCTATTAAAAGTTTTAGGGGCTGGAAATAGCATTAGGATGACATCTATCTGAACTCCTTGCAGAGACAGAAGGCCTAACTCTATAGAAATAACTACCATGCAGAAACTAATGAGGAGGCTACTGCCCTGGTCTAGGTGACAGACAGTAAGAGCTGAACTGAGATTATGTCCATGAAATACAGGAAACAATGAATATGACAGACTTAGAAACCCAGAAGGAACATTAACCAAGTTGAACTGGGGAAACAAAAACAATTATGAATCAAGTATGGCTTATTACAGTGCTCAGGGGAAAAACAAATAAAAAAAATTCTTGGTCTGCAAACTCTTGAAAAAGTTCTAATACTTTATTGTGTGCTTAAAATCACTGCTTCACAATTATTCTGCTCACCACCTCATGTTTCTATTCTAACTTTAAAACATTTAAAATAGTAGCAGGAGACAAAGAGTTTCACTAATATTAATTAATCCAGGAAAGCAGATGGATACAAAATTAAAAGAACTGGTCTAAAAAAGATAGGAATTTGATACCTAACTCTTCTTCTAGCTTTGCAGAAAATTAGTTAAATGTAGCTATTTCCAGACTTAGTAGTGTTCCAGCATGAAGGAATCAAGCTGAAGGAAAATTAGACATGGTTTATAATTTACAATCAATACACTGAACCAGAATGGTTCTATGTTTGATTCATTTCTGTGTTTAATACCTCTTACACTGACTTGTGCACTGGAGTCAGACATGACACAAAGAGGATCTTTCTTTTTATATAACCCTTTAGTACTCTGTGAATAGTTGAGTCAAACAACATGCTATTTATATTAAAAATAATGGCTATACCAACAACATTGAATGGTGAAAGAAGATGACTTACTAATCTTTTAACCTCCACTATTCAATGATTGCACATAACCATTGTGTGTATGTGTGTGTGTGTGTATGTTACTGGGGCTTGAACTCTAGCTTTACCTTCTTGATTGGCTTTTATACTCAAGGCTTGTCTATATTCAAGGTGCCATTTGAGCCATGCCTTCATTTCTAGCTTTTTGCTGGTTAACTGGAAATAAGAGTCTGGTAGACTTTCCTTTCCTGGGATGGCTTTGAACCTCAATCCTCAGATCTCAGCCTTCTGAGTAGCTAGGATTGCTGGCATGAACTATTAGTGCCTGGCTCTGCATATAACCATGTTCATGCTTACAGTCATGTTTACCAGGTGACAATATACCACCTTTATTGACATGGGATCATAAAGCACATTCCAGTGTAATCTTGTCCCTATATAAACCAGTATCTCCACCTCATTTTTTTTTAAAGCTACCTCCATGTTTCTATTCATGACTAGAAGGGAGGAATAAACATCACAAGTAGCAGCAACTTGGGGTCTGGACACCATACTTCACCTTCTGTCTTATAACCCTAAACCACATCCTTTCTTTGGGCAATGCCCCCAATTGAAATCTATCTTAATTGCTGAAATCCATCTTAATCTTCTTGCATTAAAATTTGTAAGTGACATAAACCAAAGCATTAAGTGATCATTGATTTTCTAGCCTCCCTTATAAACACTGTCAAGCTGGAAAAACGTTTCCTAATTCCTTCTTTTTCTCTCATTAGTTCTTCTTTTTTATATATTAATAAGTTTTTTATTGTGAAAATAACATGTTACAGTTACATGAGCAAGGTAATGAGTATATTTCTTATCAAGCATTGTCACCTCCTCCTTTGTTTCCCCTTCCCATCCTCACCCACCCATCTCTCCCCACCCCTCATTAGTTCTTCTTCATGGGCTCATCTGTCATGTTCTTTGATCCAATATGCTTTTATAAGACACACAGCGTAATAACATAAAATGACACCAACTCTTGCGAAATAAATACTGGCAAAGAAATGCCAAATAACCCACAGTGGGGGGTGGGAGGGAGGGGAAAGGTAAGGAAAGGGATGGCATTGATCAGGATGCATTGTACTCATCAACTGATATGTTGATACCCCCTCTGTTTGTACAACTACTTAAAATAATAGAAAATTAATTAAAAACAACAATCCACAGAGCAATGATGTTTTTTTAATAGACAAGTGATTTTTCTCCATTAACATAGAGATATGGATATGAATTTTAGCTCCTCTTCTTTAATTAAATTGAAATGGATAAGATTTTTTCTATATATGCTCAAGGGGTATATAGTCCAGGGGAGAGAGTAGGAATTGCAAAGTTCCAGCATCTGTAATTTCTATGGAAATGGAAATTATCAGTTTCTACCTGGATGGTTATAAGACAATAGTTTTACATGAAGGACAATCCTTGGCCACTAATTCTTTACTGGATCTGTAAGATGACATTATCTGGTGGGAGAGAGTCACCTTGTCAGGTGCCATAACCACCAACACAAGTCTGAGGCTGATGCCCCAGTGAGTGGAAATTACACCAATGCTTAAAAATGAAGCATAAACATTGCTCTAGGATGAAAACACGTGGTGAGTATTATCTGAGCAATAAGGAAAAATCATTAGAAGACGTGTTTAAAGCAACTCAGCAACAATCAGAGGACCCAAGAAAAGTTTGTTTACAGAGTAAGATGATAAAAATGTTGTCTGACATGGACCAACTAGCTAAGGCTTATAAAAGGCCCGAGGTGGAAGAAGCAGTCATAACTCAGAAGCGTCTCCTAACCACACAACTCTAAGCCCAACTCCTCACCACCATGGCCTGCTGTTCCACCAGCTTCTGCGGGTTTCCCAGCTGCTCCACCGGTGGAAACTGCGGCTCCAGCTGCTGCCAGCCAAGCTGTTCCCAGTCCAGCTGCTCCAAAACAGGCTGTGGTGTTGGAGGTGGCATGGGCTGTGGCCAGACAGGTGGCTCCGGACCCCTCAGCTGCCGAGCTAGGTGGTGCCGCCCAGACTGCAGCGTGGAGGGCACCAGCCTGCCTCCCTGCTGCGTGGTGAGCTGTACACCCCCGACCTGCTGCCAGCTGCACCATGCCCAGGCCTCCTGCTGCCGCCCATCCTACTGTGGACAGTCCTGCTGCCGCCCAGCCTGCTGCAAGCCCTCTTGCTCTCAAACTACCTGCTCTCAGCTTACCTGCTCTCAGACCACCTGCCCTCAGCCTACCTGCTCTCAGACCACCTGCCCTCAGCCTACCTGCCCTCAGCCTACCTGCTCTCAGACCACCTGCCCTCAGCCTACCTGCTCTCAGACCACCTGTGCTCAGCCCACCTGCTCTGAACCCACCTCCTCTCAGCCCACCTGCCCCGAACCCACCTGTTGAAATCCTCCTTCTGATGGGAATTTCGAGATGACCCTTACAAACCAATGATTCAAATCCCAAAAGTCTTTTGGACTCCAATATCCACAAGCCAGCTTGCAACCTTTTGTTACACTGTTCCATAATCTCCCAGGAGGCAAACCCACACATTTGTAGTGGGAGATCAAAAGACATCTGAATATCAAGAGAAGTCCTACAGTGCGAAAGTAGTTGTATAACATTTTGTGGTAGATATTATTTGAATAATCTCCACAGGTTATTGGTACATGAATTTAATAAAAAAATTCATTTCATCCCTTCAAAGATGAGGTCATTATTAGAACTTTCTTTTCTTTGAGCTACATTGGTGATATTGGGATACTAAGATGTTTCAAAATCTCAGTATGGCACTATGGTTCTTCTAGGTCCTTTTAATAAAAGTCATTAAAAGTGGGTTTTCCTTATTTTACCATCAAGTTCTACAGTCAAGATATGTGATTAAAAAGAAAAATCACAGCAATAGTTGTGATCCTCATTTGTCTCAGTGATCCTCATTTGTCTCAGTGTTCCAGAAGGTGAATTTATTTTGTTTTGTTTTTTGGTCGGTCATGGAGCTTGACCTCTGGGCCTGGGTGCTGTCCCTCAGCTCTTCAGCTCAAGGTGAGCGCTCTACCACTTGAGCCACAGTGCCACTTCTAGTTTTCTGAGTTGGTTTATTGGAGATAAGAGTTTCACAGATTTTCCTTCTCCGGGCTGGCTTTGAACCATGATCCTCAGATGTCAGCCTCCTGAGTAGCTAGGATTACAGGCGTGAGTCACCGGCGTCAGTCCAGAAGGTGAATTTTATTTAAAAACTTTAAAAAGCAAGTATTTATCATTTGGCCACTTGTAAGCTAAATCCACCCAGTCATTCATATATGACTCTCTGCACAATTTTTCATCCATCAAAAGTATACAAAATTATAATACAAAACAAGAAAGTCCATAAAAATAGGATCATGATTGTAACAGAAGACATAAAGGCATCCTGATTTTTAGTCCTGGCTTTGTAACTAATAATCCATGACTTCTCCAGCAAGTTCTTCCACTTGGCAACTATTTCTAATCTGAAAACCAACCTGTATTACTTATGATGTTCTTTTTGAGTTTAGGCAAGTAGATCACTTCCTTTAATAATAATATAAAAAAGTGAGAAATGACAACAAATCCCATCAGCTATCCAAAGGGCAAAATCATTCAATGGTCAAATAATCTGTTTTTCATTTTTTTCCAATTTTTATTTATTTTTATTGTTATTGTAAAGGATCACAAGCCAGAGAGGTTACAGTTCCTAGGTCAGGTAATGAGTATATTTCTTTTTGAACAGTGTCACCCCTTCCCTCGTGTTCTCCCAGTTTGTCTCTCCCATCCTCCCCATCATAAGTTGTGTAAGTCATTTTCAACATAGTTTATAGTATCACTGCTACATTTGTTCACTTTTTATCCCATCATTTCTGTTCCCTCTCTTATCCTCTCCCAAACAGATAAACTTACAGACAAGACAAAAGGTACAGACAACAAAAGAGAAAAGAATAAAAAGATAATAGCAAAAAACCACAGGTTTCATGGTTTCCCTCATTTTTTTGTAACTAGAATGTGCCTGTAAATCTACAAGTAAACACACTGGTAAAAGACAAACAAATACACTTGGATACGATAAATTAAGTGGGATTCTAGGCATTCACACAGTGAGACCAAAGGAGTATATTCTCAGGAGAGGATCACAAAGGCTCAGTAGCTACATGTATATGATCATATAAAATTATATTTACTGAAGCAAACCCCATGAAATGAAAATGAGAAGTAACATCTTTTTTCTTATTTGTTTTTTGGCAGTCATGGGGCTTGAACTCTGGGGGTTGGGCATCATCTCTGTGCTCTTCAGCTCAAGGCTTGAGTTCTACCACTTGAGCCACGAAGTAATTTCTTATACCCTTTAACTAACTATGTTATTTTTTTCTGAGAAAAGAATCCAGCTGTTTCTAGTCATTGTAACCCATGACAATTATAAGCACTACTCAGCATATATAGCATGCCTACACATCATTGTTTCTTTTCCACACTTTGAGTGGGAGGAGAGAATAGAGTACATCGAAGGCTAACAATGAGCATAAGTTTCCCTAAGCATGAAATGAGTGTCCTAGTGACTGTTCTTCATTGTGAAGCAAGTAGATAATGACATAGCACAGTGTGGATTCACTAAAAATACTATCATGGTCATGATTCATGGCTAGGTGAGAAACTTTATCCAAACCCTTTACCCAGTATCATTTTTCTCAAATTTATAACTCACTCAGAACTTCCTTATGTCATCTGGAACTAAATCAAATATTCAGGTCCCATAAAGTCTGGGATATCCCAGATCATAATTTAGCATTTCTCACTTTAAAAAGCCCTCTGGGGGAAGGTACATTTTATTTAATTTTAATTTTTTTTTTTTTTGTCGGTCGTGGGGCTTGAACTCTGGGCCTGGGCGCTGTCCCTCAGCTCTTCAGCTCAAGGCAAGCGCTCTACCACTTGAGCTACAGCGCCACTTCCAGTTTTCTGGTGGTTTATTGGAGATAGGAGTCTCACGGTCTTTCCTGCCCGGGCTGGCTTTGAACCGCGATCCTCAGATCTCAGCCTCCTGAGTAGCTAGGATTACAGGCGTGAGCCACCAGCGCCCGGCTGAAAGGTACATTTTAATGGCAATATAATTTCATACCACATTCTACATGTCCATGAAACAATCTAAGACATTACTGAGTAAAACTTAGAATTTTACTGTGAAGAGGAAGCAGTCCTTCTTTCCAACAGGAGGTAGTGGATGCAACTGCTTGAAAAGATCAAAGTATATAATCCATCAAAAAGGTCAAATAATATTATAGGCTTTATTGGCAACTTGAAGGTTTATCAGTCACACTAAGGGACTGACATGCTCTGTAATAAAGAAACCTCTGAACTCATTTCTTCCAAACTGATTTATCCAGAAAATCCTCTGTTCTTAAAAACCTCTAACAGCAATGCCCCTAAACCCTATACTTAGGAAAATGATGAAAGAGATTATCACTTGATATTTTTATAATACTCACTCAATCCTCTCATTCATTGAGAAGTAGAATACAAATGCTCATTAGAGAGATGAGTTAAAATGTCTATATTGGCCACACATTCCAGTCCTATTCTTTTTTAAAATAAGTTTTTTTTATTGTGAAAATACCGCACAGAGGGGTTACAATTGCATGAGCAAGGTAATGAGTACATGAGTACATTTCTTATCAAGCATTATTGCCTCCTCCTTTGTTTTTCCCCTACCATCCCTTCTCTCCCATCTCCACGACTATACCCTCCCCTTTTCCCTCCCCCCACCAAGTTGTAAAGTTTCTTTTTCAACATAGCATCTTGTACATCTCACTGTTGTAATGGGTCAACCTGGATCCCTATTTAAACAATTTGTTTTTTCCCTTTCCCTTCCCCTCCCCAAATTATACCAACATCAAATACAGTGAAAATGGGTTATACTGTGGGGGAGGGATATACAAAGCAACAAAAAAAAAATCACCTTATAAGTACATTAGAAATACTAGCAAGAAAGAAAAAGCCACTTGTGTCCTGATCTTGGAGTTCATTTTGCCTAACATCATCTTATCTGACCTTTTCTGCTTGTCTAAGACATATACTAGTTATTGCAAATAAGGGAAAACATGGGACCTATGTTTCTTTGGGCCTGGCTTACTTCACTTAATATAATTTTTTCCAAGTCTTTCCATTTCCTACAAATGGGGCAATGTCATTCTTTCTGATGGCATTCCATCGTGTATATACCACATTTTCTTGATCCATTCATCTACTGAGGGGCATCTGGGTTAAAAACAACATTGAGATACCACCTTACCCCAGTTAGAATGGCTATAATCAAGAACTCTAATAACAGATGCTGGAGGGAATGTGGACAGAAGGGAAGCCTACTGCATTGTTGGTTGGAGTGTAAACTTGTTCAAGCACTTTGGAAAGTAGTATGGAGGTTCCTCAAAAGACTCCATATAGAGCTCCCCTATGACCTAGCAATCCCACTTTTGGGCATTTACCAAATGATCACAAAGAAGACCATACTAAAGCTACCAACACAACTATGCTTATTGCAACATTATTTCCATTCCTCTCCTTATCTCCAGAAAGAATTGTGAAATAAAGAAAGAACTGAAAGACACATTATTCCATTCCACAGCCCACAGTACAATATCAACAAAGTAAGCTATAGATTATGGGTTAGCAGAGTGTGGGAAGTGATTACTTAGAAGTTAGTGGGTATTCTTTGGGGATGACTGAAAGTTTTGAAACTAGTCAAGCACTGGTGGCTCACACCTGTAATCCTAGCTACTTAGGAGGTGGAGATCTGAGGGTTGTGATTTGAAGCCAGCTCAGGCAGGAAAGTCCATAAGAGTTTTATCTCCAATTAACTGGCAAAAAGCCAGAAGTGCAGCTATGGCTCAAGTGGTAGAATGCCTGCCTTGAGTACAAAAACTAAGTGTGAGTGCTCAGGCCCTGAGTTCAAGCTCAAGGACTGGCACCAAAAAATGAAAAAGTTTTGAAACTAGAGAGTTTCATTAAGAATATACTCAATAACACCTTAAAATGACTTTAGACTTGAAAGTGACTATCCAATGTTAGGTGTATTTTGCCTCATTTTTTAAAAAAATTAAAGAAGTACGGTCTCTACTGATACAACTTAATTAGAATTAGAAAAAGCTATACCCGTTCTAGGAGCTGGTGGCTCACACCTGTAATCCTAGCTACTCAGGAGGCTGAGATCTGAGGATCAAGGTTTGAAGCTAGCTCTGGCAGAAAAGTGAGATTTTTATCTATAATTAACCACTCAAAAACTGGAAGTGACATTGTGGCTCAAAGTGGTAGAGTGTTAGCTTGAGCAAAAGAGCTCAGGGACAGCACCCAAGGCCAGAGTTCAAGACCCACAACTGACAAAAAAAAAGTATATCCTTTGGGTT